TTGAGCATCGACCTATGAACCAGGAGGTCACAGTCTGATTCCCGGTCAGGTCACATGCCCAGGTTGCAGGCTCCATCCCCAGTGTGGGGTGTGCAGGAGGCAGCCGATCAATGATTCTCATCATTGATGTTTCTATCTCTTTCCCTCTCCCTTCCACTCTGAAATCAATTTAAAAAGAAAAGAAAAGAATGAGTTCTATATAAAAAGGTGGGTGGGAGGAGAAGGTGACAGAACGCTGGGGAGACGGCATGGGCAAAACCACGGAGCGAGCGTGGGAGAACAGGAAACACTTCCAGGAATATCGAGGAAAACTGGCCTCGGGGCCCGAGTCAAAGGCGCTAAAATGCTGCGCCCTGAAAAGTGGCATGAGCAGACTTCTGCATCTGCTCCAGAGAAACCTGCCAGGATGTGACTACTGCGATGCCCAGGAGAACGTCACGTGCCCCTGCGAGAATGCGGGAGGAATTCCTGCCAACAGTTTTTAAGCTCAGCAACAGCAGAGCAGACACAAAGCCACGAAATGTGTGTAAGCTTATTTCAATGATATGGGGATATGACACATAATCGCCCTGTGAAGTAGAGGGGTGGTTTACAAAGGATACATGTTCATTGATTGGAGAGGACAGATCAGACAGCTTTTTATGAAGTTAAAAAAAAGTCACAGAGGAATAAAAAGGTGTGGGAGAGAAAGACAGAGGGAAAGAACCTTTAAGACTGTTCGATCCAGCTGTGAAGCCACAAGGCACAGCCAAGAGGTTCAAACAACCCGCTGCTTTCTGGCTACCTGTGTGACTTCTTTAAATGTCCACAAACACCAAACCAGCCTAACTCATTCTCTCCCTGCTAGTTGGCCCTAACCCCAAAATACTGGGAGTCAGTGACTCAATCATTTATTTTCCATTTTGTTCTTATGTTAAAATTACTCTGGCAGAGTGCCCTCCCCAGGGCATCTACTAAATACCTGATGGTAGCTCATGAAGATTTGGATGAACGGTTGCTGATCCAAGGAGAAGGCAAACTATGGTTCCTTGGTTTACGTCTATTAGTTCCCTCTTGAATATATTATTTTTCCTTCCCTCTACAGAGAAATACTTCTTTGTCACACAAGATGAGTCATTTCTGCAGTTTTAATTCTCCCCCCAGGAGTCTTACAATAATACCAAAACCAACTCACTGAAACAATAGTGCCCTTTGCAGGCAAGAACTATAATTAAACCATTCCAATATAATCACTAACTTATGTGGGGTTCACTGACTTTCAGAGTGAAGAGCACTCTAAACTTCTTCTTCTCCAGGGTTAGAGAGCCCAAGAACAAGAGGAGGAGCCAAACAAAGTCTAAGATGCAAGATACCAGCAAGAAAACGGTAAGACCAAAGTTACATGCCCAATACTGTGAATTACACTGAACGCAGTAAGTAGCTATGGGCCTGTTATGTACCTGGCACTGTTTTTAGGTGTGTGGGATGCATCACTAACAAAAACAAAGACCCAGCTTTCACTCGGGAGAGGGGAGGAGGGAGCAGAATTTGGAAAAGACAGACAATAAACAATAGACATATGAAGTAAACGATATATTATACAGTGAGAAGATGATAAGTGTTACAGAAAAAGAAAAGAAAAAAGTAGACATGGGCCAGTAATGGAGGGGACTTGGGGGATGGTTACCATTTGAAATTGGTGATCATTGGATGTGCAAAGATGTGCGCTGGGCGGGGAGCAGCCACCTGGAGGTCACGGGATCCCTTCACAAGCTGCTCTGCCTCCTGCTGACTTGGCTTTCCCCCAGTTTTAGAAGTGGAATATTGATTCTCCTCAAATAACGGGGTTACATCGAGATAGTGATTATTACTTTAAGTAACATTTTAGTCATTTAGAGTAATGTGGAGGGCAATGGAGGGAAGGGCAAGGAGAATGGTACTGCATTTATTAAAAAAAAAAACTTTCTAAAAGAAAATTATCTTCCAGGCACTATTTCCCATGTGGAAATAAAGCTAATATTTTCTACACTCCACCTGGGACATAAAAACGACCAATGTAAAAATCTTACAGTGTAAAAACCTATTTATTCACAGTGTTACTGCATCATCTATTGTTTTGCCTTCTTTTTTAACTTTCTTCTATACATCGTCCAAGCTGATGTCATCTGTTTCATAGAACACGGGATCCTGAAAGGCAAGAACTAGTCTACCTGACTGTTTTTAAATGTCTGCAAGATGTCATACATACGCTGATAGGTGACAAATACTAGTCATTCACAACCAGAGGTATCTCTTTTTTCTTATAACATGAATCTACTTTCCTTTTTATCTCGAATGCCTCAAAGCATTTAACAAACGTTTCACACATATTCTAAGCGCCATCAGGGGGAGGCGAGCAGTGCGGGGTGATGCAGCCAGATGCAGAAGCGCAGGCTTTGGAAAGAGCCTACCTGGGTTGCAGGACTCAGCCTGACCCCGTGTCAGCTGTGCACCTTTGGGTAAGTCACTTGACATCTCCAAATTGCGTTACTTCACCTGGGAAAACTGGAAAAATCATACCTGTCCCCACGGTTTTGTGTAAATAAGCTAATGGATGCAAAGAACCTGGCACAGTGGCTGGCTCATAAAAGGCATTCAATACGTTACTTTGCTCTGCGACAGATTCTTCTGCAACTCGCGCACAGCGCGGCCAAAACAGTGAAACTCACAAGAACATTATAACTATGGTGACCACTACTTGTTTACCTTCTGGCTATAAAATAAAGGCTC